CCTCCTCCCCTGTCCCCCCCTCCACCCCCACTCCCACCTTCTCTCCACCACCACCTCCCTCCCGGTCCTGGGCTCCCGCTCGAGTTCCAGTTCTCCCCTCCGGCCACTCGCCTTTTCAGGGCGACCGCCCCCTCTTCTTTCCCATCAACTCCCCCCGAGGCCCATCTCTGCCTGCCCTCCCCCCGCCCCCATCTCCCAGGGCCCTCGGCGTTCAGTCTCCATCTTCCCTGAGGCTGCAACCTGGGCGCCGGCTAAACCCACCCCCAGATCGCCCACCGCCTCGCCCCGCGCGCCCGGCCCTGAAAGCCGCGGCAGGCGCCCGGACTGAGGGGACCCCTCGCCACCACCCCTTCCCGGTTCCCACCCACAGGTCGGAACCCCGGGTTCTTAACCTGGGGGAAGGGTCTAGGGGTCCTTAGATGAAAGCGAAGGCACAGACTCATGCAGCGTCTGCAGAACCTCAGGGCATTCGCCGCTCCCAACCGCCTCTCAAGGTCCGAGTGGATCGAGATGCCTGGCCAGCCCGGTGGGCAGCGCGGGACCCTCCTGCCCCCGCCCTCCACCCCCACCTGCGGGCGTCTGCACCCCGTTAGTCCGACGCTCCCTTCCCGGTTGGTGTCTCCTCTACCCGCCACGTTGACTTCCCAAGTGACCCTGGTCTTGTGGGGGATTCTGATCAATTTTCGTATTTTTGTTGTTGTTGTGCCCGTTGGCGGTCCCTGGGCGCGCTGCCATTGGCTTTTTATTAAAGGTTCGCGTCTCGCTTGTTCGTTGTGTTGACGGTCCTTTGCGCAGCCGGACGGGATTCGGGCGGATTCACTGTCGCTCCTGCCGCCGCGATGGCTGTCGTGCCCGCTGGTTTCCCAGCCCTGCATTCCCGCGTGGGACGCCCCCGAAGTGCCACTACCAAAGGGCTAAGCAAGCCACACGCCGCCTGGAAACCCCGCCTTTGTGGATGTGCTTTCCCAAGAAACACACGCGCTCTCACGTCCAGAGTCGCTGTCTGACTTATCTGTGCATCCACTTCTTTTCCGGGCCTCAGTTTCCTCACCAGAACAACCCCAGGGCGCGTTGGGGAGGGCTCCCTGGGGCTTAAAGGCACTGATGTAGTTACAATACTTAGCCCCGTGGGCGCCTGGTAAGCTCACCGAAAACGGAAGATATCATTGTTGTTGTTGTTAATAATTATTTAAAAAGTCGGCTCCCAGCAAATGGCTGTTGGATTAAGGGATATTCACCAAGGTCTTTGGACGAAATTCTAGCCCCAGCCTTGTACTTGCTCAGCTACAAGCCCTGGGTGAGAGCAGCTGTCCTTCCGAGTCAAAGGACCCGGGCTTGGGAAGCCAGGAAGGCGTCCCTCCACCCCCACCTCCCTCAGGTCAGGTTCTGATCCGTGGGGTTTCCTTCTTCCCCATACTCAGGCCCTGAAGTATAGATTGCCAAGAATTGCTCTGGACCTTGTGGCCACTAATACATCGACAACCCTCTCTATCCTCATGATTTTTGTATTTTAAAAAATATTTTTATTGATTTCAGAGAGGAAGGGAGAGAGAAATAGAAACATCAGTGATGAGAGAGAAACATTGATTGGCTGCCTCATACACACCCCACTCTGGGGATCGAGCCTGCAACCTGGGCATGTGCACCGAGACCAGGAATCCAACCATGACCTCCTGGTTCGTAGGTCGATGCTCAACCACTGAGCCACGCCGGCCAGGCTATCCTCATGTTTTTATTTCTGTTCACTCAACCTGCAAGTGTTGGCTATTTGGGTTTGCATCCCAGTTCACAGCCGTGACTAGAGCAGAGTTAGGGGCTCATGTCCCAGAGCCTGTGACTCAGATTCTTGGGGTAAGTCCCATTGGGCCCCTAGGCATTCCTTGCCTCCTCCTCCCTGCAGCGCTCTAGCCTTCTGGCTTTCCCCAACGCTACTGCTCTTGAGGAGCTAACACTTGCTCAGAGTTCCCTCCTCCATTTGTTTATGAGCAGCAGATTGTCTTATCTTTCTGGTTTCTGTTTCCCTGAAAAGCAATAGGGAAAGGGATCCAGTCCGCAGATGGTAGACATGCCACTTTCATGCCAGGCTCCCTTTCACCCCACCCCAACCGTGACCTGAACATACCTGGGTTCCCAGAAGCAAAGACCCC